TGAACCGTCCTGCCATCCTAAACTCTCCTCTACACAATCCTGAAATCCTGAACCGTCCTGCCATCCTAAACTCTCCTCTACACAATCCTGGTATCCTGAACCGTCCTGTTGTCCTGAACTCTCACACGAATGTCAACCCTTTCAGATCTCATCAGTCGAACAGTAATCCCTCTCGAATGGCTCCTGGTCCTGTCCGTAGTCTTTATTCCCCTGCGCTGTAATCGATAACATCGACTGACTTCAGGCGAGCAGTCTCGAGCTACTCGCTCACCGGACCGCTCCCCGGGGCGCCCGCGTCCTCCGTCCTCTTCTGGTCCAAATCCTCGAAAACGACAACACCACATGCTTGATGATTCTCAAGATGATCATCGTCCACATAGAAGGGTCAGTGCTACATCATCTTTGCTCTTGAGCCGTCTTTACTGACTTTTGTGTCCTCCTAGAGCCGGCGCAATGAGCTCATACAGGTTCGCCTATTGTCTTCCTTCTCTTTCCGTGGCTGACGGTTTGACCTCCAGTATGATGAAGAAAGGGACCGTGTGGGTGTTATGGGCAACGAGGGCGGCGACGGAGAGGAAGAAAATGAAGTTAACGGGCGGTCATATTCCCTTCGACCGAGGGATGTTTTTCGGGAGCCTCGCACTGTAAGTGCCAGCTCCCCCTGCTCAGCCCCTTCACTCACTCATTCTCTTACCAGTGTCTCCACGATTTCGACAATGGCCAATGGCCTCAGCAGCCATCTCTCGACCACAATATTGACATGATTAAGTCATATCGAGACGCAGCTGGGTCAAGTCGTTTGTGCTGCTTGCTCAGAGCAGTGTTCAAGGGCGGATACACAAGCAATCCTCGTGCCGAACCTGAGGGTCGACATCCTTCAAGATGCGTGGCAATGCTCGACCCCCATGATCCCCTCCCATGTCCTCGACACCTCTGCTGTCAGCGACAACTGGGCACACTTCTGTCGAAAATGCTCTGCTTGCATTGCTGAGGACAAGTCCGCCGACCCTTCCTTCTCCCATGCCTTCACCAAGGTCCCCTCTCTCTCACGCGCTAATGGCATGGTCCTCGGCGATATCCCTGCCGTGCTGGCTGGCCTCACGTGGGTGGAAACGGTCTGCATAGCTCGAGCCAGGGCGAGTCGTTGCTGTGTCAAGATCAAAGGTCACGGCTCTCATCAGTCAAAAGGCAACGTTGTCATACTCCCCCAGGCTGCGTCCGAGCTGTCGAGGTTGCTCCCTCTTCCAGCTTCTGTGATCGCTAACGAGATCGTTGTCATCTGGGTTGCCAACCAAGCAGAGCCTCTCACTGCTGAGAAGATTCCCAAGAATCTACTTACCGTCCGCCGGGACAAGATAATTGCTGCTCTGCAGTGGTTGAGAGAGAACAACCCTCTCTATAGTGACGTCTCCATTGATGGTGATGCGTTGACCACCTACCCAGAGGACGGACACCTCCCAATACCTTGTTTCAATTCTGTCGCCTCCGCTTCCACCGAAGCCGAAGGTGCTGGATATGTCCCCCCTGCCACGGCTCCTTCTCAGTCGGCTGACGCTTCCCAGCCATCGGAAGACGTCATGGTGGACGTCTCTGGTTGTGTTGACAGCAACAGCTCTGGTCATCATGTCGACCTGCGCAAAGTGTCCGCTCTCACAGCTATCAAGGGGGGTGCTCAATTCCTGGCGTATCCTTCCGGGGCAACGCCCATGCAAGAATACTCGGCACCAGAGACCTTTGCAGCCCTCTACCCTCTCCTCTTCCCCTACGGCTGTGGTAGCTTTGAGGATCGACTTCGGCCAAAAAAAGTCTCCTTTGCGGCGCATGTTGCCCATTGCTTGAGGTGAGCTTCCTGCACTCTTGTGCTTTTCCCTTCACAGCTGACAACGTTGCCACTCTTGGAAGATACAAGGATCGCCGCTTCTCAACAGACGTCACCTTCCCCTTCGTCTGCCTCAACATCATCCAGCGTCGCCAAGCTTCTTTCCAAACTCACCTTCAAACCGAGAAGGCTTCATTCTCAGAACTTGTCCCTCTCCTGAAAAGGGTTGACGTTGACACCCTCGCATCCATGCAAGGCAAGCTCAAGCCCGGGGTCCGTTTCGTTCCGGAATCAGAGCAGGAGAGAGCCGCTGTGACCTTGCTTCGGAAGCTGAACATCATGTCTATCAACATCTTCGGCTCTGCTGGAAGCCACAAAGACATGCGGGAAGAGCTCAGAGCCCTTCTTCGCCACTCTGGCATGCCTAGCTTGTTCGTCACCCTCAACCCCGCCGACACCATGAATCCTATTGTTGGGGTCTTCTCCAACCTGGATGAGACACTGGGTACCGGAAAAGCTGTCAGCGCTGAGGCTTCAGCGAGAAGCCAAGCCGCAGCGCTCAATCCCGGTGCATGTGCTCAGGGCTTCCACTTCATGGTTTCTCAAGAGAGGGACAAGGTCCGGGAATAAAGCCTTTTCGTTTTGGAGGTGAGCTTGGAAAGAGGCCTGGCTACGCTGGATGATGTTCAGGCAGACGAAGGGGAAGGTGACGTCGTTGAGAAGCGGCAGTCTTTGTATCTTAATCATATCTGACATGATAATGTAACCAGGTTCTAGCATGCCGACTCCATCTGCGGTAGCTATTCCTCTTCCAGCTCAGGCGACATTTCCGGGGGTCCTGAGCCGTTGAGGAAGAGCAGCCGCTCCAGGAAGGGGAAGGAGAAGGAGGATGGGGATTTTGAAGGATATTAGATGCTTACAGAGTCGAATGATAAACAGTTAAGGTGCATACCATGGATCCGTCTGCCATCTTGGCTTTACTTTTCTGCAGCTTTTCTGCGTTACGGGTCCCGCCGCTAGTCGGCCAACACCCTGACATAGAGGATGGGGGGAGAACAACGATGGGGAAGACGAAAGTGAAATGATGGAGGTGAGAGGCGGAGCGAGCAGGTGGTGAGGATCATATTCGGTCCCGTGCCTTGGAACGTTTGATCACACTCCCACAATCTCACGGGGATCCTTCTTACCCCTCGTGGAGATCCGGCCACTCATGATTAACATATTCTTGGGCAGTACATGTACGGGGAGGAAATTGCTTTTGAGCACCCACTGGAGTAGTCGAACAACACCAGTACACTCCGGCGGCTCGGGAATTAAAGCAACGCGCCGAGTGAAGGTGGTCGTCGGGAGAGCTCTGGCCCACGCCGCCAGCGTCCAGCACAAGGCTCGTGACGGGTACGTTCGACTATATAACTCCAGAGAGAAACCGTTCATCGAGCCGATTGCAAATTCGTTGTTCTCGGAGAAGTGATAGCTATCCCTAGGTACAAGATACATATCTCTATATTCCGGTAGAAATCCGCCAACCCCCCCCCCCAATGGACAGTTGGGGACGGGAATGGAATCCGGCCCGTTCACGTGCCTCCCATTCTCAGACTCGATGGCGGATTGATATAGAAGAGATACTGCTCGAAGAAAGTGACCGCGAGAGATGAAATGTAATGGCTGAATGTTCCCCACACGTACCAACAGTAGGATGCATACAACGCCTTCATATCAATCCACATAGATCAGCTCTAGCTGGTTTGAAGGCAAGTCATGTTTGGCCTCATGTCCATTTAGTTCCTTTGTACAGTCCTCGAACAATTGATGCCACACTGCGAACAAAGGCGAGTCTCTGGTGACATGTTTCACCAGCAGGATCCAGCCATATCCGATATGGGATTGGGAGGTTGGATGACCGGCCTGGCGCAATGCGTGTGTGGTTCCAAAACTATTTGCAAGCAAGCTGAAGAAATGGGCAGTACTGGTCCTGTCGGACGACGTGGAACGAGTGAGGCTTAAAGCATGCTGCTCCCAAGTTGCTGGAATGTAGCCGTTCTCTTCCCATGAGTACAAAGCATGAAGGACTTTGGAAAGTTCCCGGGCACCTTCGGTACACCGTAGGAGTATCAGTCAGTTTTATGTCCAGCTCGATATAGAGACTCACGTTTCTCCATTCTCTAAAGAGGAGCCTCCACCACGAATTTGAGAAGTCGTTAGTGGGAGCGTTGAAGAGCATACCCCAACTTGCGACATCTGTGTCAATCGCCCGGGCCTTCTGTGCTACCAGCTTGGGCGGTGCTTTACTCAACCACTCGAGGATATGCACCAGGTCGATACACGCCAGCCATGCTTTACAAGCCTCTTGCCGGCTGACCTGATAAATTTGGGGGTGAGTTAGCATGCAATCCCCTTAACAAAACGTATCCCATCAATCTTACCTTGATATGTTGGTGCGCAAACTCTGTGAAGTAGTGTCCCTTGAGACCATTCCTGAGCGTACACGGCTCATACGAGATAGGCTTGCTTTGCACCTTCTTTCCGCTCTGTACGCACTTTTCCAAAGCGAAATGATATGCGTTTGGATAGTACAAGAGAAATGGGTTTGTACTCAATATTTGCGGAAGGAGCTCCCGCTCAGGATTTGCTTCTTGATAGGAGGGCGGTAGGCTGCCGTCATCACCATGAAAACCAGAAGAACTGTTGGGCATATTTATTGTCTCCGATGTCGGAACTTCCTCATTGAAGGATGGCGAAGGTCCAAGGCTGAGATCAAGAAGGAGGATGTTCTGAATTCTCTACCATGTACGGCAGGAACTGAAGCGCGGAAAGTTATATATCAGATCGTTTCCGCCTCGTGAACCACGACCACTGAGATGCGTCATACTGCACAGGCACGTGCGGAATAGATGCGGGAGGGGCCTCGGCACAGGGCTCGTTGTTGCTTGGTATGGGGGCGGCAGGCTGCTGTCATCATGACAATCGACAGAGCTGCTATACCCTCTTTTGGATCGAGGATTTGGCGCGGACCTTTCATGTTGGTGGAAGGCGATGATAGTCCCGCTAGTACCAGTTCTTGGGGGTCAAGTGCGAGGACAATGTGCGATGGAACAGAGATGCGGGATTGTATAATAGAGCCACTTCACTGGTATCATGATTTTCGGCAGAATGCATACGAGTCGTCATACTATTGTGTACTACTTGAGCAGACCAGAGTCAGTCCTGGATGGCTGTCAAGGGCGGAGGCAGAGTTGGTTTCGGTAGCAATATGGGCGATGCCGCCATTTAAGTGGTGTGGTGCCCGCCACAGGAATGAGAGCTAACTGCGATACGTCAACCTTTTCGACGAACGTCGGCATTAGTCACGGCGTGGTGGACGTTCCATAGCTCTGTACCGTCGGACGAGGTGAAGATATTATCCAGCGTCAGCTGGGAATTGGTCAATGTCGTGGGTATTGGTCACTCACCCGTTGTGGCCAGGGCCATACTCGCTATCACTAGACGAGAAGACGGGACCGTCGGTCACTTTGGACCAAGCAGCGGGATCCATGGGGTCATCCCCAATGAGATGAAGCTGTGACGGGCCAGCCTGAACACTATTTACGAGTGCTGGGTACGTACCAGATTCGGACTGTAGTCTGGCTTGGTGCTCTATTTATTTAGTTTAAGCCACGATCTGATTTTCGACCAACCCTTATTTTCAATTCCATCGTTCACTAATTTTCATCAATCACTCGACCTCATCCAAAATTGCCTTACAATCCTTACAAGCATCCACACCGAACGGTGCCTTTAATTCTGCATGCATCCTCCCCGTTCGTTTTCCCACAAACCGTTTACCGTCAAATTCATCTTTCTCACTTTACTACTCACCGTTTTATTCCATTTTTCGTTGATGCATTTGCTCCGCTGACTGCACCATTCTAGAGCTGCCAACCATGCCCACCTAACGGTACTTCTAGCTCCACATACGACACATTCTAGCTCTCTGTACCGTCCCTTTACCTGGAACCGCTGTTTTCGCTCCGCACGCGTCCTCGAATCTTTGATTCCATCTTTCTCCACTTTTCGTCGATCACTTTTGTTCGTTCTTGGCTGGATGCGAAAGCTTGCAGTGATACCCGCCTGCCAGTACCTACAAATACCCATGCATCGTCCTCGCTCCGTTTCCCGCAGACCATTTACCTTCAAGCGCCTCTCGCTGGCGCCTGATCCTCCTTCTGAGACGCGTCGTCGGCTACCTCCGCCTCCTTTTGCCTTCCGCCCGAAGGCGAAGCTGTCCCCGGTTCCTGGATCCTGTTTGTCCCTGCCTCCCGTGCCTGCCTCCACTTTTTTCGTTCATCTCAAAAGCCGGACAACGGCCGCAAACACTACTGCAGCCAAGGAAAAAATGCCAACGTCGCTTGACCTGCTACGTAACACGCTTCTCTCTTTCTGCCATATAAAATATCATTCTCTTTAGTATACTCCGAAACCACTCATAACTGAACCATGTTGTGTTATGTTGGAAGAAAGGATTGCGGAGATGGCCGCCGGACGTTCGCGCTGGAGTGTTACATAGTGGTTTCCATATGTCTTCTTCTTCTT